AAAAAAAAAAAAAAAGGCTAAATGCATGACTGAGCCACTGTGTGAAATAGCTATAAGTGATGAATGAATGTGAATGAATGAATGAATGCGTTAAGAATGGCGGCTAGGGGCCCGGGAGATGGCTCAGTGGAGTAAGTGCTTCCCTGGCAAGCGCAAGGGCCTGAGTTCAATCCCCAATTCCACCAAAAAAAAAAAAAAAAAAAAAAGAATGGCGGCTGACGGTGCGAATAAATGAGTGAATGAATGGTATATGAATGGGAAAATGAATGAGTGACTACGTGAATGAATGAGTAAAGAATAGACAACCTACTGGATGAATGAATGAATGAATGAGAGAATGAATGAGTGAGAAACTAGATGCCAAGGAGAGTAAGCAAATATGACCAGAGGTTGGGCCTGTGGGGTCCTAGGCCTGGAGACATCTCCATTCTTCCTCACCCATTCTACTGGGGCAGAAAGGGAGAAAAGATCAGAGGAGCCCAACAAGCCTAGGCGTGCAGCCTTTTGGCGAGAGGCAGGGCCCCCTTCAGAACATCTGCCTCATAGTCACGTTAGGTCCCTCCAAGGCAGTGCACCATGCCTGGATCTCGGGGGTTGGAGGCCGCACTGGATCAAAGATTTGCGGCGAGCTGACGGTGTTTTAGTTAACCCGGCCGGAGGTGCTGGCGTGGGAGGGGCCGGTGGGCGGGACATAAGTGGGCGGAACGCCGCTGGAGTGGGCGTGGTGACGCCGGTGGGGGCGGAGCGCCAGGCTCTGGTCCCGCCCCGCCCCTCTGGGCCGCCGCCTTCCAGACCCCCACCGCCCCACCGCCCTGCTGGCCGGCGCCCTGGACGCCATGAAGCAGCTGTGTTTGTGCGCAGCCGCCTCCTTTGCGGTAGGGCTCGGGGTGGGGGTGGGGCGGAGGCCGGGGGGCCGAGACGCTGGTCCCTTCTCCCCCTCCTCCTACCCCCCCATCTATGCAGAACTCCTAGAGCCAGGAGAGATGCGGGCGGGAGGGAGTAGGGCTGGTGCCAACCCTTGGGGGAAAGATGGGACATTTGGGAACACACAAGGACAGTTCTGAGGACAGACGAGGACCCTGAGAAGAATGTAGAGGGCCGGAGCAGCAGTCTGGAAACCCTGTATTGGAGTCAGATGGGGATATTTAGAGGCTATTATGAGGCTATTAGGGGGTGCTGACCCTGGGAAGATCTCGTGACATATGGAGAACAATTTTTGGGGATTTTGAAACAGGGTATCGGAATGTAGTCCAAGCTGTCCTTGAACTCATAGTGTAGCCCAGGCTGCCCTCAAATTCGTGGCGATCTTCCTGCATCAGCCTACCAAATGTTGAGGTTATGGGCATGTGCCACCTGGCCCAGATTGGTTTTTTTGGGGGAGGGGGCGGATAATTTTGGAGAACAGTGCAGACATTGGAGGAAATATCTGAGAATGCTTTTCAGGCTAACATTTGGGTAAACAGTTCTTGCAATATTAAGGGGATAATGGTGAGAGGTGCAGCTGTGGGAAAAATGGAAGAGGGGCTTTGGGGGACATGGCCTGGGGCCTTAGGGGCTCAGATGAGGACACTAGAGCAGCTGGCAAAGGCTGTAGATCAGCTTTCTGGATTCCACCCCACTCACCTGAGGGATGACTGGAGGCTTGGTGTGTAGACACCAAGGGAGAGATGCTGAGGCTGATCAGGCCGATGGTGGCAGTGGGGTTGAGATGACAGCCGGGATGCTGGGCCTGGGGCAGATGCTAGGGGCGCAAACTTGGGAGCCGCTGTCTCTGGCCCCCGCCCAGGACCACCTCCCCCGGCAGCTGCGGCTCAGCCCCTCCGACCTCGGCTCCTGCCCACCCTGCGGCCCCTGTCCCATCCCGAAGCCAGCAGCCAGAGGCAGGCGCCAGGCAAGTGTCCAGGGTGGGAGGCCAGAGCTGGGACCCCTGCCAGGCGGTGCAGGGAGGAGGCAGCACCTGCCTGGCCCCATGTGCCCTTGCATGTGCCCTGCAGGGCCAGGACTGGGGCAAAAGTGATGAACGGCTGCTGCAGGCAGTGGAGAACAACGACTCAGCCCGGGTTGCCGCGCTTATCTCCCGAAAGGGGCTGGTGCCCACCAAGCTGGACCCCGAGGGCAAGTCCGCGTGAGTGCTGGTGCCTCCCCGGGGCATGGCTGAGGGGAAGCTCTCTGTGTGACCTCTGACCTACGACCTCTGACTCCAGGTTCCACCTGGCCGCCATGCGGGGTGCTGCCAGCTGTCTGGAGGTGATGCTGGCACAAGGTGCCAATGTCCTGAGCACAGATGGGGCAGGTACTGCCAACCAGGGCCTGGGTGGGTGGCGGAACACATAGTAGGACCTAGCTCCAGGCCCCAGCAGGCCCTGCTTCAAGGTCTCAGGGTCCCCTCCAGGTAGAAGGCACATTTCAGGCTGTGGTTGAATCCATCCTAGGGATGGAGTCATGGCCATCCAGTACCCACTGTGCATGCGGAAAAGCTAGGATTCAGGCAGCGGTTGAATCCAAGGGAGCAGTTGGGGCCAAGGAGTATCTGGGGCTTGGGGAGGGTTTTGAGAAAGGGGGTGGGCAGAGGAGGGCCCTTGGGATCCTCCATGGGTGCGAGAATAACTGGGGAGACTTGGGCTAGGGGGTCTGGGATGCAGGAGAATCTGAGAACAAAGAAAGGGTGGAAGCAGGGGAGTGTCTGGAGTTTGAGAGAGATGCGGGGCTCATCCAAGTAGCTGAGCGTGAATTTCTCAAGCAGAATAACAAGTGGAGTTAGAGAAGTGTCTGAGGCATGAACGAATAGTTGGGGTCAGGGCCAGAGACAGAGCTTAGCAACATGGCTCCTGTCCAGCAAGCGCAAGGTCCTGAACTCAATGAAAATAAATAAATAAATAACAAACGCGCCCCCCCCCACAAAAAAAAACCCAAAAAACTTAAGAGTAGCTGGGATTTTTTTTTTTTTTTTTTTTTTACAGAACTGGGGATTGAACTCAGGCCCTTGCACTTGCCAGAGAAGTGCTTATTCCATTGAGCCATCTCCCCGGCCCCAGTAGCTGGGATTTAGGAGAGCTGGAACTCTGGGAGTAGCTAAATTAAAATAGTTGAGTTAGTTGAGGACCTGAGAAAATAGAATGTGTGGGGCTTGGGCGTCACTAAGCATGAGCTGTAGACAAGGACACTCCATCGCAGCCCCCTTGCTGTTGACACAGGTTTGTGGAGCAGCTGGGAGCCTCCGGGGTATCTGTCGTAAACCTCCCCTCCCTTTCAGGTTACAGTGCTCTCCATCTGGCCGCCAAGTATGGGCACCCTCAGTGTTTGAAGCAACTGCTACAGGTCTCTTACTTTCTTACCTCAGATGCTCCCTGCCCATCAGATACTCCCTGAGCCACTGCTGCTCTGAATTCCAGCGAGGCCTCAAACCTCCTGACGTTCCCTGAGTCCTGATGTCCCCTGGCCCATTTTAATCCTGAGCTCCAGCTGCTCCCTAGACAGTCACATACTCCTAAGTGTCCGGATACGTCTCACACCAAGATATACCCCCAGTACTAGGCATGCATGAGCACTAGTTCCTCCTCCAACTTTAAGTAGCGTCTCAGGCACTCATTCTGAACTCCCAGCTACTCCCCAAATTCCCAGATACTCTTCACACTTCCGGCTACTCCCTCTTTCTCACTAACTCTCATAAAAACCAAGAGGCACTCAGGGGCCTGTGACACGTGCTCCCCAAGCCAAGGAGGTAGGAGGGAGGGGAAAAATCAGGCAACAGGAATAAGAGATGTGACTCCCACTTCAGGCCTCCTGCATGGTGGACACTGAGGACAGCAGCGGGTGGACAGCTTTGCATCACGCAGGTGGGTGCAGTGCGACCCTGCCTGCCCACCGGGGCTCCTTCGGTGCTGCACTTGGGGGTTATCTTCACCGGGGCCTCCTGCTGCCTCCTTTTTTGGGACAGAGGCTACTGGCAATGGAACCCAGGGCCTTTGCTCTGAACTACACTTTTTTATTTTTTATTGTGACACAGAGTCTGAAAAAGTCACTATGTAGGAGCCGAGGAGATGGCTCAGTGGAATAAGCACTTCCCTGGCAAGCACAAGGGCCTGAGTTCTATCCCCGGTTCTGCCAAAAAAAA